TTATTTAATTGGTGTATTTGGTAGTTTTAAAATAACGATTAAAGGGCATAATAGATAAACATAAAAGCTACACCAAACCATTGTTATTCCCTTTATATTGTTATAGATTACATTTATTTTATTTTTTTTCTCTGTGTAATAATTATTTAAAAGTAATTTTGACAAAAATGCATTTAATACTATCTTAAACTTTATAAATGGCAATTAAAAAGAAATAAAAAATTATTTAAAAATATTTGTATGAATTGAAACGCGTATTATATGAATGTCATACAAATTTCAAACAAGAGAATGTCAAATCAATTAAAAAGCCATTTTTTAAAGATATTTGTCTTCTTTTTTGACATATGTCATACATACAAGTGTCAAACACTAGGGAAAATCTAAGGTGTTTGTGTTTCAATCTTACCATAATATTTTTTCTGTCTAATATTAAAATAAAATTTATTTTTTAAATACATTAAATAATTAATATATCCTATCTATATATTTTAATTATTCAATATATTTAAAAGGTAAAATTTATTTATAATATGAAACATAGTTTGGGAGAATCTTTCTTATCCAAAATCCGAGCTTGATCAAATTTTTGTGTGGCTATTTTAAGTTTCTAATAAGAGAAGATTTGCCATTTCAATTCATTCGGCTTTGGAAATGGGTCAGAAGTGGCAGTGAAACAGCACATACAGGAATCCCTCCCCATTTCCCCACCTCATAGGGTGATTGCTCGTCTTCTGCAGAGCTGAGGAAAAGCCTTATTAGAATTTCATTTTTTCTATGTAGTATATTACAGTGTATAAGTATAAGGTGACAGAAAGTCTCACCATGGGACCAAGTGACTCCAGAATTTCAACGGAACGAATGTTGTTCCGTTCCGTCTTCCCTGAAACGCGTAAAGAAGGAAGTTGAAAATAAGACAAGAGAGACAAAGAAAGGATAGTGTTAACAAAGGAAATAGGAAGGAAAGAAGGAAGAAATAGAAAAGTCAATGTTAATTTATGAAGCACGGGTATGGTAGTCGGTAGAGTAAACTATGGTTGGATGGATTCATGAGATTTGTTTCTTACCTTGGATAAGTCACTCAAATTCCGTACCTCTTTCAAATTGGTTGCTCATTAGATTTAGGGTGTAATTATTTTAGATTAAAATTAAGTTTTTTTTTTTTATTTTTAAAAATAATTTTGATATGTATTTTCTTAATAGTGTCAGCTATTTCAATTTTTTTAAAAACTTAAAAGAACAACTTTGATATTTAATAAAATAAATGTTCATTCATAATGATTTTAAATAACTAAAAACACTTAATTTTTCAAAAAAAAAAGTTTTTATGAGAAATATTTTAATATCTTTAATAAAAGTATGTAAATAAAAACATTTTTATGACAAATTCTGAAACCATTTTTTATTTAAAACTTTTCTAAAACAAACATATATAATATTATCAAATATTTAAATATGATAATAATGTTAGCGGAGTGATACATATTGAGGAGTGATACATATTGAGGAAATGAATGAATGACTTTCGAATGAGGTAACTTTGGTGCAATTGAAAATAAAAATTATTCTGCTACTTAAAAAAAAGATTTATAGAAAGTTTTCTCTTTAATAAATTTTTGAAAATAAAAATTATAATTTAAAAATTGTTCTGCTACTTTAAAAAAAATTTATAGGAATTTTTCTCTTTAATAAGATTTTGGAAATAAAAATTATAATTTAAAAGTTTTTAAGACCATTGACATGAAGTGAAAAGGGCAATATTAATGTTATAACAGACTAAAAGATGTATTATCTAAAGAGGATGACGTGTTATGATGAAAATTTGAAAGCACTGTATCAAACCATTCTCCGCCCAATATGGCGGTGACTATGGTGACAATAACTTCTGTCACCTCTCCCTCATCATCATTCTGCATTCCTTGGGCATGTATCTCTTCTGGTCCCAAAGCAGCTTCTCTAATACCTCGTCAAAACAAAGAACTGCTGAAACAACAAAAGACTTTTGCGGAGGTGGCTAACAATGTCTGCAACATCTCGGTCAGCCAACTCCTTACTCCCTGTTAAAGGTGACAGGCTTGCAATTGTGACTTCTGAGGACAAGCAAATCCTTGGCGTGGAGTCTTATAAATACAGCCTTCATGGTCGTGTGATTTGGACAAAAGGAACTATCCCTTTAACGGTTGTCGCTCTCAAATCCAAACTCTCGGAACTCTAGAAATCCATAAGAAAATTGGGTATTACCTCTTTACGTAAAGGATACTATGAATTCGCCTTCTCTTCCTTAGAAGATGTTAGAAGGGTTAGATTTATCAACTCATGAAATATCAATCTAGGTTTTCTCAAACTTTTTCATGGAGTAAAGATTTTAACCTCAGTCTGTTGAGGCATACCTCTGCACATGTATGAGTGAGAATAAATGGCATGTCCCAAGAATATTAGAAGCCAAGAATTGTCTTTACCATAGCTAGCAATGGGTGTTTTGAGAGACCTTTTGGTCATTTCATGAGAGTCTTAATTAGTGGACGTGGACTTAACAAAGGAACTGAGGTATATGGTGTTAGTTGAAGACAAGGTTTTGCTTTTTGTGCGGTGCATGAGTATGAAAACCTGCTCGATTTCTATCATGAATGCAATAACATAGGTCACAACTATGAATTGTGCAAGAGAAGATTTGTGGAGGAACTTAAGATAGAGAAGAAAAAGAAGGAACCCAAGAAGGTTTATGTGCAAACCAGTTCAGCTAGTTTGGATAAAGGCAAAACTGTCAGAATTGATGATCGAAACCCTGAGCAACAACCTTAAGGAGAGCCTAGTAATTCCAAAAGGAATGACATACTTGCGGAAGTTGAAGATCTCATTGAGTTAGCTCCTGAGACTTAGCTACAGTTTATTGAGAAACAAACAATTTTAAATCAGTATCATCCCACTCTCCTCTGCTGCCATCGTCATTCTCTCTCCTCCCGATAACGTTTTTCACACTCCACCTGAGGAGGACGCGTTGCTTCCCTCTTTTGAAATTAATGTTCCTTATTGAACCGTAAATTAGACTATTGATGTCGACAATAAATTTAGGGTTTTGGAAAGGGATTATTTTGAATTAGGTCAAGTTCCTGTGAAAATTTTTGAAATTAAGTTTTTACTCTTTGGGAAATTCCAATGTTGTGGGATGTGAACAAATGAATGTATATTCTGTGAACAATAATGATTTATGTAGTGAAATTCCACTAGTTGAACACTCTGTCTTGGAGGAAAATGTTGAAACCCAAGCTGTTCAAATTCAAAATGTTGAGGTCGTAGAAGGTTCTTGAAGGTGCGAGGATCCGGTGCTGCAAAATATGCAGAAGGAATTGGAATTTGAGAAGGATGACAGTGTTGAGGAGATTAAGCTTCACCGAGTGCATGCCAACTGTTTGATGTTTTATTTTGCTTCTAAAGGGTATTGTTCACATTTTAAAAGCAATTAAGATTTCAATTATATTTAAAATGTAAATTCAATTGAAAAAGACAAAGGGGACTAGTGGTAAAGTATTGTTCCCAACAACCAAGTGAACCAATGTTTAAATTTATGGTATATGCAAAATTTTGGTGACCTTTCTAATGAGCATATGCCACATCAGTGTCACGTGTATGTTAAATGGACCATAAATTTGACTTTGAGAAACAAACCTAATAGAAAAGACTAACCTGGTTTTATTTGAAGAGATAAATGATAAAATCAAAGTTTTTAAAAATCAAAAGACCGAAATGGACCTCGAGGTAAAGATAAGAGACAAAAAAAAGTATTTTGTCTAATTTTTTTTAAGATAAGAGATATAATAATCCATGATTTGTACCTTATGGTGTAAGTTTTAAACTTTTTTTAAATGGCCAAATAATATATAACTAAAAGAGAGGTAAAAGTCCATAAATACAAAAATAATGAGTCAACGACATACGGAGTGTCAAGACAATAACAAAATAAGAAATATACAAATAAACAAAACAAAGCAAAACAAAAAGAAACAAAACCACAACAAACAACCATAACGAGCACAACAAACTAAGAAAAGGAGAAAAAAACGAGCTTCACACTAAGTCACGCCAGAAGACACCACCCAAACAAGACTAAACTAGTTCTCAGACAACAGGATCACCAAAGCATACCGGAATCTCAAAGAAGCAATAACAAACCACTAAGAACTAAGGGTCAGGCTAGGAATCTCGATTCGCTATTGACTTAGATAAATGATAGGGTTCTAAAGCCAATTAGTGAAAGATAGAAAGTTCAACTGGATTTTGTGATGAAACCAAGTCTATGCCAATAAAATTCTCTTATCCTCCAACTCTTTCATATTTGTTTATGATCCAACAAAAAATATATCATTGCGAACATGTCAGATAGTCCACACCACAAGGTTCCAAATCATATTGAATTTAAGCCTAAGAGATAAAGAAAAGAAAAGCTCAAAAACAAACCTAAAATCACTGTGAAGAATTGAACCCCCTAAATATCTTATACCAAACAGTGGAAACCAAGTTATAAGTCACAAATAAATGGGAGGTCGACTCTACAAGATCACCACAAAAAATATAAGAGGTCTTCTTATGATCGATAATGACCTTGCGCTTGAATAGATTTGTTTTAGAAGAAAATCTATGACACAGAAGTTTTCAAAAAAAATCAACACATTAGACCAGGTCTAGCTCTTCCAAGAAAAATTGAGACGGAGGTAGTATAAGTCCAATGACAACTAAATTGTTTAGATCAATTGTAGGTAAATTCTATCGTAAATATATTAAAGTTTGAAGTATTTTTGCTTTGCAAATAGTGCCTTACTTAGTCTAAATTTTAATTGAAAAGAAAAGAAAAATGGCATGGAAAAAGAGTGGAAATTTCGCGGAAGACTTTGGAGTTGACTCTATGGTCGACTGAGAGCATAACTAAACTGAAACACAATGAACTGAATTGCTTCTAAACATAATCTCTTCCTTTTGCTGTTGTCTTCATAGTTCTCAACCTAATGAATAATCATATCAATATTTTGATGCTCATCTCTTTCTTATTGATAATAATAACCACTTTTTTTCCACAACTATCCCACTCTCAATCAGTCGATGATTATTCCATTTGTAGAGATATAAATCATTCCTACAACTGTGGCAATCTATCCAAAATCTCGTATCCATTCTGGGGACAGAATCGTCCTTTTCAATGTGGCGCAGGAACCCCATTTCACCTTTTTTGCTATGAAAACAGCGTTACTACCATTCTATTATCCTCACAGAATTTCACAGTACTTGAAATCAACACCACAACCTACACCATCAAACTCAAAAGAACAGACCTTTCTCTAAATCTTTGTTCTCCTCAATTTGGTGATACTTCTTTGTCTCCAACTCTGTTTCAATATCTCCCAAAAGTCAAAAACATCACCATATACTATAATTGTACTTCCTCTCAATTTTTTCCTAAAAAATCTCTATGTGGAGCTTCGAATCATGCTTTTTGTCCTGTTGGTGATGATGCAAATAAGTTTCTTGAAGAATCAAGAAATTGCAACAGATATATACAAGTGCCAGTAGGAGGAGATTTTCCTATAGAGAATGGTTATTATCATTATGTAAATAGTAATGTTCTTGAAAAAGGTTTGGATAAGGGGTTTGATGTCAAATATAATGTGAATGAGGAATGTTTACGATGTTTGGGCAGTCAAGAAGGAGATTGCGTGAGTGATTACATTGAAAAACATGCAACATCCTCTTGCTATTATGATAATTGTCCAGATGGATCTATTGCTTTTTCCTCACAATGTTCTTCTCAACACAAAAGTATGTTTTCTTATCTTTTTATCTCATAAATATATAAGGGTCTATTTCATCCTAAGAAGCACAAATACCTGAAACATGATATCAATATTTCAGATGATACTAATAATAATTTTAAAAATAAATAAAGTGACATCTACACCGACACATACAATTTTTTCAAAGGGATCATTACAGAAATAGCAACACTTAGTTTTAGACCATTGCATAATTTTCCTATGCTCTAACAGAATCCTCTATGCTCTTTCTACTACTATCGCAGGTAAGCTGCTGCGCTGGCATGGGAAAATGAAAACCATTCTAGGTGATACATCTATAATCTAATTTTCTAGTATGACTCGCATTTAATTTTTGTGGTATACTTTAGTAATGATGATTAATCTATATGTAGAGTTTTCCTAGTTTAATTTTCTTAAATACTATTTCTCATGGTTTGAAAGCAAAAGCGATTTCCAGCTAACTATGGTAATTTCCGATGCGGTGGAAGTGATTTCTGACAAGTTTAGGATTAAAAAATTCCAGTTTTTGACAGGTGTAATCTCAATCTAAGATGGTTTAAACTCCCAATTTTTGGATTAGGGACTATTTTAGTGGGATTATAGCAAAAGATCGTCATTTAAGGGAACCTAGTGCATGGGGCGAGGATGTGGCCGACCGAGGAGACAGGCGGCGACAACACCTCCGACTACGGTGAGAGTGTTCACACCATACTCATGCTATTTTGGTAGGAGTCAATGCTCGAAAGAATGATGCTAATGCACAAATGGAGAAAACATCGACAAAGAAGGATACACAACTTGAAGAGAAGGAATGTACAATTCCAAGCCTGAAGGAACAAAGAGTTATACTAGAATCCATCGTGGAAGAGACAAATGAAGGAATGGAGTAAGAGGATGACAAAACTACGACTAAATCATAGGTGGATATAATTTGAGGTAATTGTCTACCTTCTAATGGTATAGAAATTGAATATATTGCTCCTGTTGTAGTTGATAGTGAAATGGAAGTAATCATAGAAAAACAAGACATAGTGTCTGAATCGAGATTTTGGGAGAATTGGCTCATTATGCATGTCTCGGGAGGGGACTTGTCTATGAATGTTGTTAAGAAGTTTATGACCAATATGTGAAACTTTGTGTCATCCCCTGAACTTTACTATAATGAAGAGGGTTACTTCATTATCAGATTTAAAATCAAACTTGATAGGGATGAAGTATTTAGATCGGGGGCTTACACTATCTACCGAAAACCCATGTTTCTACATGAATGAAACCCAGAATTTACATTGAAAGATGACATCATAAGAGTTATACCACTCTGGACTATGCTACCACAACTCCCTCTGATTTACTAGGGAGAGAGAATTATTGGCAAGATAGCTAGTGCAATAGGCAATCCACTGATGACTGATGAATGTACAATAAAAAAGTTAAGAGTATCCTATGTTAGAGTGCTAGTGAAAGTGGATGTCTCATTTGAACTGAAGGATTTTATAACAATCAGAGACCCTAAATGCAAAAAAAAGAATCATGCATAAAAAGGAGTGTGAATGGAGACCACCATTTTACAAGAAATGTAATAAATTAGGCCATGAATGTGAAGTGAAACCAAAGTAGAAGCAAGTATGCCAAGTCAAGCACGTTTGGACACTAAAACAGAACGCTGAGGAATCAGATAAGGAAACTGCAAAGATAACACAAGAGAAGGAAATAGAAACAAAAGAAACAAAAGAGGTGATAGAGAACCCAATTTAGATAGTAGTGGAATCCTCAAAGCATAAAGGGAAAGGAATAGTGGGTGAGTACAACCTTCCTAATGCAGGTGTAAATGGAATAAGATGTAGCAATGAATTTGATGTGTTGGGAACCGGAGAAGATCCAATGTTCGAAGACAAAGTGCCATGATAGTAGAATAGAATGTGAGGGACTTGAATAAAAGAGCAAGACACATTCAGATTGGAGCCCATCTCAAAAAAATGCAGGTGTCTTGTGTGTCTATGCTAGAAACTAGAGTGAAAATGAATAATGCTAATAAAGTGAGAAGGATTTTTGGTAGTAACTAGAACTGGCTAGATAGCTATGACCACCATCATAATGGAAGAACATGAGTTATATGGAAGAAGGAGGCTATAGATATTAGGATGTGGGGAAGCTCTGATCATTTCATTCATTATGAAGTGCTCAACAATACAGGTCACAAACAATACTGGTTAAATGTGATGTATGCACAAAACTAGTTAATTAATAAAAGAGATTTTTGGATGAACATAAAGGGAATGGCCAACATTATTCAAGACCCTTGGATGGTTATAGTTGATTATAACAATGTCTTGATTGTTGCTGATAGAATGGGCGGATGCTCTGTGCAGAAAGTGGAATATGTAGATCTGGAAGATATGATTAATGAATTTGGTTTATTTTAACATGCTACCCATGGGAATTATCATACTTTGTTTAACAAGCATAACAATGGGACAATTTACTCTAGAATTGACAGAGTTGTCTACAATAAAGATTGGTTTTTGAAGTTTTCACATAGTGATGTTGAAGTCCTACCACCTCACATATCTGATCACTCACCTCTAAAGGTCACCATGGTTTTCAATAATCCTTCTAGGAAGAGAATACAACCTAGATTCAAATTCCTTAAAACTATGGTTGAGGGTGAGGAGTTCATAGATACAGTTCAGAATAACTGGAATAGAGAAGCAGAAGGTAGACCAATAATGAGACTTTGGAGGAAATTAAAGAGATTACAACCTATTCTGAGAGGCCTGAGTAGAAAAATCATCTATGGGGCACATCAATTACAAGAACATTGGAAAAAGTTGGATCAAGTTCAACAGAAACTCAGTGGTGATATGTTTAATATGGAGTATATTCAGGAAGTCAAACATTGGGCAGAGGAAATTCTAAAAACCACAGAGACGGAGGAAAAAATTCTTATGCAAAAATCTAAAGTGACTTGGTTGAAGCTAGAAGATGGTAACAATGCATAGTTCCATGTTATTGTCAAGGAGAAGAATAAACAAATAGGGCTGCAAAAAATGGAAGATAATAATGGTAATGTACTTGGGGATTTCAAAGATATTGAAGAGGAGATCCTTAGATTCTATGGTGAGTTAATTGGTACAAGGGCATATACTCTCTTACATGCGGATATAAAGATGCTGAGGAAAGGTGCACAATTGCAAGATCAATACAAGAGGTAAGTTGGTGCAGCAAATCACTGAGCAGGAAATTTGGAATTCTCTTAATAAAATTGGAGATTCTAAAGCTCCTGGTATGGATGTTTTCAAATCTAAATTCTTCAAGGCAACTTGGAGCATAACAAAAAAAGGATCTCATTATAGTTATGCTTGAGTTTTTTTAGAACTAAATGTATGTAACAATCGATCGTGCTATAGTAAATTTGATTCTAAAGTCTACATATTGCTAAATAAGTGAAAGACATGAGGCCCATAACATGTTGCACAACTGTCTACAAAATCATTTCAAAAATTCTCACAATTAAACTTAGAAAAGTTATTGATGCAGTAATAAATGATAGCCAATCTACTTTCTTGCCTGGTAAGGTCATTCATGATATTATCATCATGGCTCATGAGCTGGTGAGAGGCTATAATAAGAAGCACGTTTCTCTTAGATGTGCTATCCAAATGGACATTCAAAAAGCCTGTGACTCAATTGAATGGTCTGCCCCGGAAGATATTCTCCAAGAGATGAACTTCCCAAGAAGATTTATATTGTGTGGTGTCGCTATGCGAAAAAATAACAGAGTCGCTATCGAACTTTATTTATCTTAAAAGGAAGGAAAAACATCGAGAAAACCCCAAGAGAAAGGATAAGATGGTCTCGCAACCAAGAGAGTGAGTTCGGAAGCTGGTTATGCAAAGGGAAGGTATTAACATCCCTCACATCGATTGTATTCGATGGGAACCATTCGTTTGTCTTATGCGTAAGGATGTTGCTAAGGGATTATGCTTTCTAAGAATGTTCTAAAAAGAAAAGAAAAGGGTTTAGAAACAAAGTGTTCGCTAAGGATTGAGACTCCCGTGCCTACGTACCCTCATGATACATTGAGGAAGTCAAAGCCTCGTAGTTCGCGGAACTAAAGATGAAAAGAAAATATGATCGCGGAAGAAGGTTGAAAAAAGAAAAGGTGGCTCGCCAAGGATTTAGGCTCTTATGTCTACGTATCTTCATTGACCAATGAAGAATCAAAGCGTTCGTAGTTCGGATGACCACAGTGAAAAAAGGTCTTGATCGCACTGAGGCGAGAGAAAAGGCTCAACTAGTTGTTAGTGAGCTCGCCAAGGATAGGGATCCTTGTGCCTACGTAGCCTCATTAGGGAATGAGGAATCAGAGCATCAGTAGTTCACGCAACCACCAGTTGGTGTTTTTTATGGACAATGTTAAAATTCGTGTTCTAGCAGTTAGGTGTTTGTCGCTCGCTCGTGGAGTCTTATGTATTACATGTATTGCGGTAGAACGAAAATAACATGCCCTTTTTCTGAAAAGGTTTATATTTTCGTCATCGAGGCAAGATGTCACATTTGATTTGTGAAGATTGATTTTAGGGGTGAAATAAGTCCTCGGGTAGGAACCCTTGCGGGTAGTACTAATTCTTCATCTTAAAAGATTTGTATTGAAAATGGTGTGGCAAATATAGTCACATATTTGCATTGAAAACGAGTATCGATATCACACACTCTAAAGTGAACATCCTAATACTCTAAGAGGAAGGATTCTTCACTCAATCCCCTCTATTTAGTTCAATACAAAGAGGACATAATTCATTTTATTTAAAAGATGTCTTACTTTGAAAGGTAAGTGTTTTTAGACAGTGAACCCTAAAGGTAGTGTCAAACACTCGAGATAGGACAATGCCTTTGCCTAACCACTCCATAACCATCCAAGTTTATTGAGAAAAAGTTTGAAAATGAACTTGGTGCAAGACCAAGGTTTTTGCTTAAGAAGAGAAGATGATGAAAGAGACTGAGATGAAAGGGTGAATGTTAACCTAATGTAGTCATGCTTGGATTAAAAACCTAATATCTATTCTACTTCAATCTTAATCAAAAGTTAAGTTGGACTAGAAGATCCTAAAGGAACGTATGAATTCACAAGCAAGCAAATAATCAAGGTAATGTTCAAGGGTCATAATGAATTAACAAGAGAAAGCAAACCTAAACACGGAAACGATTATCCACAAAATAAAATCGAAAGATGCATGAGCTGGATGAATAATGATAAGCACAAAATAATGAGAAAAAGATAGTAAATGCAAGAATTTAAACCACGAGCTCACGAAGTTAGGAATCAAATCACAAGTCAATAAATTAGTAGTTAAATTAATATTAAAATGGAAAAAGAATAAAAACCTAAATATATAGGTCCTAAACACCAAAATTAAAATTAAGAGGATTAATTCACAAAATTAATTGAGAGAAATATTTTAAATTTTTTTAAATTAATAACTAAACTAAATAATCTAATTACTAATAAAAAATCAACATAATTTAGAAAAAATAAAATAAAGTTTATGAAACAAATAAAAAAGAAATAAATAAATAAAAAGGGAGTTTTTAAAAGTAGTCTGGGGTGTAAAGATGAAACCAGGCTTGGAGGTGAAGGCCCATGGGGAAATTTGATCCAGGTAAATGTCTTGGAGCGGGTTGCTCCAAATGATACCCAGGTTGGCTTTCAGAGTTTTCTTAAACCTAGAGTGAACGGCTGGGAAAAACAAATAAGAAACGATCTACACCAAAAGTATATCACGCTTATTCTGAATGAAAAGAGACGAATCCAAAACCTCCTAAGCTAGAGGCGACTCAACTTTCTCGCGTCTCATTTTTCTTCTCAATCTGTCTCCTCTCTCTCTTGTTCGCACGTCTCTCTTGATTCTCACGCCGGTGCGAGTATGTTGTTGTTTTTGTTGTGTTGCGATTCGTGGAAGGTGGCAGTGATTGGAGCGAGACGAGGGTGATGACGAGCTTATTGGATCCAATTTTCTAAAGTGTCTTGTGTTTTCTCTTTCGATTCTTTTCCCTCACTCTCGATTTCTCGCGGTAGAATTTGAAGGGGAATTAGTGATGGTATTCACTATGAGTGAAGTTGGATGTGGTTAGATGATGAAGAAGATGAAGTGAGGTGGTTTTGTGAGTATGTGCAGTAGATCAAAAGATAATGAAAAGCAATATGTGAGCTATGGTGTAATGGTTCAAGTTTTTTTTTGGCTTTTCTTAAATTCTGTTAGCAAGAGATGTGTAATGAAAGAATATGAAGAGTGATTTTGTGGTTTTGAATAAGGTGGAAAGTTGTGTGAGAGTGAGGATTGGCTTGCAGTAGGTTGATTTTTGGATGGTTATTGATGAAACAGAAAGGTTTTCTTGTGGTTGTAGGTGGTGGAGGAATTTTAAGATGTTAAATCTAGTGGAAGTTTTAGGGAGTGCTCTCTCTTTAAAAATCATTTCCCTCATCCCCTTCTTTCATACAAATTCAATCTTTGTTTATTAACTTTTCAAATTTGTCTTGTATTGCTATGTTTGACGCGTCTCTTTCCGTTGCAGGTTTTTGGTTGTTGATGCAGGTCTTGTTTTGATGTCGCAGGTTTTTGCTTGACGCTGCAGTTGTCATTGTGTAGTTGTTGTTGCTTGTGGTTATGTTTCATAGACGGTTTGCACAATGTTGGTAGCAGGTTTTTGGCTTGTTGATTTGTTTCGTGTTAGCTACTTGGCTTTGGTGTAGCAGTAGCTTGTTGCAGGTCTTTTTCATGGCTTGGATGTTGTACAGAATTTTGTAGTTTTGCTGAGTGGTACGCATAGCTTGTTAGCTACTTTCCTTTTTTTATTTTTGTTGTAATAGCATAAAGTATAATGGTCTTATGGATTTGTGACCTTTGTAGTATTTTTGGTTGTAGGATTTTTGGTGTAAATGGATGGACCTTATTGAATGTGACTTGGGCCTTTTTTGTTGAATGATTTTTGGTGATGATATTGTAACAAAAAGTGGACAATTGAATAATTTGATATGGGTATTTGAATGGAAATTTGGACATGAATTGTAAAAATGGATTCAACAATGGTTTTAATAGAATTGGACATGGACTTGAATGGATGGATAATGAAATGTTTAGAATGAACAAAATGGTTTAGAAATGGTTTATGGATAATGAAAATATGGACAGATAAAAGATAAAAGAATACAAATAAATGGACACCGAATTGGATAAGATTGGTTTGTAAATGAATTAGGAAAATGAATTTTGAATACGAATAAATAACAAAGTGGATGGTTACGGGAATGGGTAGAGGTAATGGTAATGCACTTCCACACTTGAACAACACTTAAAACCTCGAAAATTGCACTAGACCGCCACAAGTCCTGGATTACATCAAAACTTTAAATTCATCTCAAAATGATCTTGGTTGAATGACAAACCTGACGAATCCTCAGACCAATGATGAAAACTTGAACCATACAATCCGGACTTGCATATAACCTGAGATATACCAACTGTCTTGACTTCTAATGGCCCTGCGACTTGACTTCAATAGACCATTTAAATTGACATGAAATCCAAATTTGATGATCTTTAGATAGAAAGCACTGATATATGCTTAATCTCAGTTGAGAATGAAACAATCTCCTCTTTCTTAACCAAGATCAAGTCGCATCCAACTGAACTGAACAATACTGCATACATATTTGACCTGCTAACCCCAAGAGAATCTAAATTGAACGACACATCATCTCAAACACAAAGGAGTAATAAAACAAAATCTTCTTGCCTTAGGTGCATACTGATGAAACAGTGATTTAGAAAACTGATGAAAACCAAACCCTGATTCGAAGTCTTCTCAGTTTGAGCCATTGATGAAACCATAAACAGCCAATACCCTTGAGGAAACTCGGAGAATCTGACATTGTGTTTTAATAAACCTCTGATAAAATATGCTCTATGATGATTGAAAATCAAACTCCTTGTTTCAAACTTGAGTAGAATAACCAAATGAAATAACCTCTGAAAATGGGAAACCAAAATCAACAGAAAACCTCGATCCCATGTCTTAGGATTCCAATGAAGTGCATGTTATATAATATATGATGCAAAGTGAAAATAAAGTCAGATGAATGCAAGTTTAAAAATTCCTGGTCAAAATTTGGCGTATGACAAATGCCCTTATTTAATCTTCTTGGACCTGAAGGTATGAATAACAACGACTTTTCAGACATTCGAGGTAAAAAGGGATTAAATACTAGAATACCTAGAATTTTGACCGATTAGAAAAGAGGGGTAGATGTAGTGATATGCTGGAGATGAAAATGGATAGCATGTGGGAGATGCAAGGTATATGCTTGAGATTCAAGGTTACAAATGCATGAAAGACCCTCTGGTTTTGGTGAAAAGGTTTTGGGCATGGTCAAACAATGGTAATCGATAATGGGAACAATGAAAGGTAAGATAGAAGAAAATTGAGATCAACGAATTTATGACCCAAAGGAAGATAAAGGGAGACAAGATCGAAGGATCTATGGACAGGAAGTAGGATCAACAGATCTACAACCCAAAGAGTGAAGAGAAGCAATATCGACAAATTTGCGACTCAGAGGAAGATCGATGGATCTGTGGAAAGGAAGTATGATCAACAGATTTACAACTCACAAAATGAAGAAGAGCAATATCAACGGACACACGACTCCAAAGAAAAGATCAACAGATCTATGGAAAAGAGGTAGGATCAAAGGATCTACAACCCAAGATTAAAGAGAAACAATATCAATAGATTTATGACTCAAGAAAGATAAACTGACCTATGAATAAGAAGTAGGATCAACGGATCTACAACCCAAAAAGGAAGAGAAACAATATCAACAGATTTGAGAAAGATCAACGGACCTATGAATAAGAAGTAGCATAAATAAATCTACAACATAAAAACAAAGAGAAACAATATCAACGAATTTGTGACTCAAGAAAGATCAACGAGCCTATGAATAAGAAGTAGGATCAATGGATCTACAACCCAAAAATGAAGAGAAACAATATCAATGGATTTGTGACTCAAGAAAGATCAACAGACATATGAATAAGAAGTAGGTTCAACGGATCTACAACCCAAAGACGAAGAGAAACAATATCAACGGATTTGTGACTCAAGGAAGATCAATGAACTTATGAATAAGAAGTAGGATCAACAAATCTACAACCCAAAAACAAAGAGAAATAATATCAATGGATTTGTGTCTCAAGAAAGATCAATGGACCTATGAATAAGAAGTAGGATCAATGGATCTACAACCCAAAAATGAAGGGAAACAATATCAACGGATTTGTAACTCAAGAATGATCAACGAACCTATGAATAAGAAGTAGGATCAACAGATCTACAACCCAAAAACAAAGAGAAACAACATCAACGGATTTGTGACTCAAGAAAGATCAATGGGCCTATGAATAAGAAGTAGGATCAACAGATCTATAACCCAAAAACGAAGAGAAACAATATCAACAGATTTGTGGCTCAAGAAAGATCAACGGACCTATGAATACGAAGTAGTATCAATGGATCTACAACCCAAAAATGAAGAGAAACAATATCAATGAATTTTTGACTCAAAAGATGGGGAATAGAAAGTAAGATCAAAAAATTTACAACCTAAGAAAATGAAAGGGGATTAAGATCAAAGGATCTAAAAAATAGGAAGTAGGATCAACAAATCTACAACCCAAGAAAGTAACAAGAGTGACAAGATCAACGGATCTAAACGCAGGAAATAAAATCAACAGATTTACAACCTTGAGAGACTGTGAATAGAAGGGTGACTCCACTGGGGGAAACAAAGGGTAAATCGAGGATAAGATCGACATGTCTATGGTCTTGGAGATTGATTAAAATATATGCTGGGGAATAGACTCAACATTCTCTATGGGTATATATTAATGTCAAGATGGAAGATTGATTCAGGGTTTCATGTAAGGTAACAAAACTGACTCATGCTTAGTATGCATATGTCTGAATTTTTCCAATGTTGTAATGCTCCATATCGAATAGAAATACTACGCGTTTGAGGATGCAATGTAATGATGGTTTTGTTTGAAAAAAAATTCTGATGTAGGCTCGGACTACTAGGGATAGAAGGATATGTGATCCAAGGGTTATGATTATGCAAAATATGGTTGGGCTTTGGTTAGGTGTGAGACCATATTGATGGTGATTAGAATTTTAGGGATTTTATTCTTTGTTTCCAACGAAAGTGGACTTTGAAGGTGAATCACCAGACGAGAACCGATTTTAAAGGGCTAGACTACCAGACGAGACATGGTGGCACAAGGTTAAGTTGTCAGATGAGAACTGACTCCTTATTTTTGTATTAGACGAGAACTGACTTTATGGTTTTCCAGATGAGAACTAGTTCTGAAAGAAAATTGACTACTATATGAGAACTGCGGTAGGCTAAAGAATGGGTGACCAGACGGGAACCATTTTAAAAGTTATCTACCAAACAGGAACTGGTTTTGAAGTGATTTGGTTTCCAAGGCTTTTGATGTCAGATTCATGTTATGTGGTTAGACTCAACGAATGAGATGATATGCATGGCTTTATGCATGAGAAAAGCGACACGAATGAAGCCTGAGGATGATTTATGCAATGATATGGAGGTTTTCCGGAAATTCCTCTGAGGTGGATAACATAGAGAAGGTATTTTATATCAAAGCTTCTTGTTTGTGAAAGGTGATTTAGTGGGGTGCTAGCAGGATTCCCCAACACTCGTCTTGAACTTAAAGATTGTTGACGTATGTTTGCTTGAGCATCTTGAAGGCATGGAAGGCTTGCCCCTCTATGGCTCGTCTTGCCTCAGTCTGGTGGGGCTTTGAAGAATTTTCCTTGAAAGAAAGTTGAGAGCAATTGTACCATGAGATGACCTCTAGATGGCTTGCCTAAGAACTTTGCATCATGAAAGGGTTTCCCTTTGATTAACCAGCTCTTGTAGTGATTGGCTTTGATGTACTCTTAAAGTAGCTTGCCCCATAATGAATGTTAAAGTGATTTAACTTGTGTTGATTGAGCATCGGGGATTTTCCTTTAATAAAAGAACCTCTGGGTGGCCTGCCCCTAGTCAGTAGAATTTTGAAATGATGCTTCCTGATCAACCGATTCTTGAATGTTTTGCCCCATAATTAACTGATACATGAGGACTTGATTCAGATTGACAAATCTTAGGTTATCATATGACAATGCCCCTGATCCATAGGGTGACGAGGTGTTCTTGATTCTGATCAACTTTGCTGGATGGTTAAGGCTTCTTTGATTACTCTTTATTGGGATTTCCTTGATGTCAAGTACTGACTTGCAATTAAAATTGTTCATCCACAAATGGTAATTTTAGTGTGATGCTAATGCAAGTTTTAAAAAAAAATTCATTTATTATTGGAATGATGTGATAATGTGTGATGAATGGACCATTAGTCCAAACGTAGTGAAGATTTAGCTAATGTGAAAAATATAACAAGAATATGACACCTATACAGGTGATTAGCAAATCTGTAAGAGTCAGTTTACGCAACCTTGTTGTAGTATGACTTCAGAATAAACCCTG